TAATTTTGTTGTCCATGAACAAAAAAGTTATCCTGCAATTTCCAAGCGGATCATGCATTTTTCTAATGAAATAGCGTACATGGAGGGAGTATATAAATTAATTTCACGTGTAATGCCGTAGTCCGGTGAGATTAATATTGTATCAGAGAAGCCTTTTACATTGCTGTGCTTCCTTTAAAGTTAGCCCAGCTTGAATACGCCAGTTAGACCATTTACCGACAACGAAAGTTTGATAAACATTTTCAATCATTATTATACGTTATCGTTTTAGCCATACGGTGTCCACAACTGTTTTAAACAATCCCACTTCCCAGGTCATCTGTCCACCTGGTAGAAAGTCATCCAGGTTTTCGACCCTTTTTACCCCAACGGCTATAGCTCACGAGCGTAGAACCATTTATTGCTGCCAAAAATAAATGGTTATGACACGCGTGGGAGCCGGAACTAAGACCATAATATTTCGTGTTCAGTTGTCGTTCATAAAAAAAGCAACAGCTCGAAACGCTGTGGTTGTGAATTCGAGTCCTATCAGAGTCGAGAGCATTTTTTAATAATTTAAAGGTAACATATTGTAGCAATTTCAAATACCACTTCGGAAAATAATTATTTAATATAACTTATATATCGGCACCTACTTTAATATCATTATCAGTCTCTTTTAAGAAGATAAATTTGTAAACTATAATTAATACCAACTGTACTCGCTCATGAATATAAATGGTAGCTATTTACTGGTTCGAGCAACTGGCGCCCATCAAACGGAGCATTTGAGAATAAAGCAATCTTTCTCACTTAGCTCCAAGTGAATCCATTGAGATTTCAAGAATACTGGAAAAGCACTGTGTGTTATTAATTGTATTTATGCCTTGTTTAGCATAGGTCGTTTTACTGTATTTGTGTGAAAGAAATTAGCGGTACGACTACTACGATTAGTTCGTTGGTCTAACAGCAGCATTGGCTCATTAATATTAACCAAGGGGTCGTCGGTTCAATCACTTGATCTGACCAGTTTTTAAATACTGTCTATAGTTTACGCGAGTCTCCCCGTGACCGCGGCTGCTGCAAAGCATCCGAAACGTCGGGCCGAAGTTAAACATCAGTTTCGAATAAGTTTAACTAATATATCGCGTTTTAAACCGTTAAAGTGTTTTATTTAAATGACCAATTTTTATTTTGTCGTAAATTTAACGTGTTTCGTAAATTTGGTGACGTTTAATCGTGTTTCGGTTTCAGTCTCTAAATTTCCGAATGTTCAAAGCCAAAATAGATCGATTTCGAATTCAAACAAATAGTTCCTGAGATTAGCGCGTCCACAAACTTTTCAGCTTTATAATATTATAGATTTCCAGGATTCGAGACGCTCAGTCAAAGTGTGTAGTAATTGTCTTGGATTAAAGAAAAAATACAATGAACGAATAGGAGGGTGGCCGGGAGCCGAGCCGTAGTTCTGAAGGAAGTCGTTTATCATTCCAGTTGGCAACACAGTGGCACCGCTTGTTAATTACAGAAAACAAACAAAGTGGGGAATTGCTCTGATAAGGCTGTTTATACACGATTTCCTTTACTCCTTTTGTGTATGACAACTTTGTTATTTAAATTAAAAATCGATTATATTTTTTTTAAACTACTGCGCAGCTTCTATGGCATGCCTTGACCGTGGAGACCGGATCTGATATATCCGTAATAAAAAAGCTTAACCACTTTATACCAACTCGAACATTAAAAAATTACGTAAGCGATAACGCCAGTTGCACGCGCCATCGAGTAGAGTATCGTTGTCTCGTTTTATTCCCGAGCTATCCGGTCATTCTGACAACCGCTCGTCCTCGGGCGAGAATTTTTTTCATACAATGTATATATAATATATATGTATGTGTATGCACCTACATATATATTGTGTTTATATCGTATGTGATAAAACATCGTCTATATTTAGTTTAAATATTTTAAATTAAATTTCTTTTTTTCTCTTTACCAAAGCAATTTTTTTATAATTGTGTAATCGTATCTTGGTTGAAGAAGATTTTAAATTGTATGTATATTTAGCTGTAGTATACAATATATGTTTATGTATACTATTTAGCTGAAGGAGTACCAAATAAACAAAAAAAAAATATCCTAGACCAATTCTAAAAGAAAATTTAATTTGAACCAGTAATTCCTGAAATTATCGCGTCCAAACAAAATTTTCAGCAATGTAATATTAGATTGAAATTTCGTTGACTAAATAAAAAACCATTTATAATAAATATGAAATAGCGGAATAGGTCATATTGACAATGTAAGCGATGACTACATATTATATAATCTAATCGCGCATTTTGTGTTCTATCTATAGTCTATATAATTTTCAATCTATGTTACTTAGGTACCTATTTGATTAAAACGTCAACGTTTTCACCCACACCTTTTCCACATAGTATAAATATAAAAGTGAAATCCCCTTTCCCCCTCGTGGGGCATAGGGCGAACACATTTCTGTGTCCATTTCAGTGATCCGTTCCTTTTAGTAGGATTCTGTGCCCTACCCTACCGGAACAACTCTTTTTTGTTCCCCTGGGATACGAACCCACGACCTCTGGCGCATAACGCAATGCTAGGCAATACGTTAAACCATTTGGCTACAGAGGCGGACACTAACAATGAACGCTCGCAGCGGCTCCTGAGCCAGCGAGATAGACCACGGTCGTTAACAGAGATGACGCGCAATACAATTCTTTTCTAATTTAGTGATTCATGGTCGTTTTAATTAGCGTGCTTATAATTTAAATATTTGTACTTATTTATATCTACCCGTGCGAAGCCGGGACAGGGCCGCTAGTATTATAGTACATATATGTATATATATATATGTCACTTTATTTTTATTTCTTAGCGGCAGCCGTGGTCAGGGGAGAAAAGAGATGGTCAGTTTTGCCACTAGTAATTGTAACCAATTACACTTATTTCTACTACTTCTTGTTATAAATTTACAAAATTAATGTCAAATAAAGATATTTATTATTATTATGTATAGTTTACACAACATTGAACATAAAACGCTTGGACTATAGATGGAGGACAAAAACTGTACACGGGTATTCCCCGAATCGTGTTCTTAAAGGATGGATCGGGCTTTATCAGCATTTTAGCCCACTCACATTGCCATAACATCCTCGTTTAGCAACTAAGTAATCACGATGTTATGTATATGTAAGTACAATAAGTAGATAGAAGTTGATTATTGATTTTATGGAACGAATAAAAATTGCAGAAATAAAATAATCATGGAAATGTGTTGAATTGTAATGAACCTTTAAACAAAAATTAATATGAAAAATAAAACCAATTTTAACGGTTTAAAATGAGAAGTATGCCGCGTCACGGATTCTGCCTTGCATCCGAAACGTCGTAGTTAAAACAATGTTCAAAAAGTGTAATTATTATATATCGAGTCTATTTAAAAGTAATCTATAGTAATATATCAAGCTGAGGAGTTTGTTTGTTGGTGTGAAACTACTGGTTAGAATTGAAAAATTCTTATTGCATTTAATAGAACATTTATCGAGAAAGGCTTATGAAACATCGCGCTGCAACTAATAGGAGCGAAGAAACGACAGGATGTGAAAAAAAAGAGTAAAAACGATTCACTTTTCCGTTGCGTACGATACAAAAACGATTCAAGATACCCAAAAAATATGAATGAAAGAATGATTTATCTTTAAACGATCGACAAAAAAGTCCGCGACAATATATGTCAATCTTTCAACTTGCGAGAACCATAGGACGACGTCATGGGTAACATAATTTAGGTATAGAGTAGAACAGGAGATTTGTAAAAACAAAATTTGATGACTAAAATAACTTATCTACACGGACGAAGTCGCTGGCATAGCTAGTCTAATATATCCTCATTGCAAAGCGTTAGAGTGTTTTATTGAATTTGTAGCTTTTATTTAAGTTGTGTAAAAAGTACCTCAATAAATAGTAAACACACTAGTCGTGTTTTAAAAACTGTTTTTATAATTTTAAAAATTGAAAATAAATTGAAAAAATATTCGACTCGGGCAGGACTTGACGCGGCGTCGTCAGCGTTCCGTGCTGTTGCTCTACCAATTGAGCTACCGAGTCCTACATGTCATCGTCGAATTTTTTTCAACCTTTTATATCACTCTCGCGCAATGTAATTTCAACCTTAAAGCTTGCTATCAAGGTATATAATTGCCATTTTGTAAAAAATATTAAAAATTTCAAACGTTATTAACTGTATGTCAAAGTTTTAACACTTGGCCAATAATCGACGGGCTCGTTGTTCTAATAGTAGCAATGGATGGCTAATAAGCCACGGGTCGTGGGTTCGACCCCACCGGGTCAAACATGTTTCTTATTTTTCAATTTATAACTTTCTAAACACGTTGGAGAATCTGGATATTAAACGTCTAGTATAATATCTAAAATTCTGTCCGGTTCAAGAAACGCCGTCCACAGATAAAAAAGCGGTAACGTTTAAACGCGTTTCGGTTGCAGTCTGTAATAGGTCGACAGCCGCATCTTGTTTATATGTTATATGGCTGAGGTATTTCACTTACTAACAAGTTGACCCTATGCTCGTCTGTCCTCCTATGCATTGAAAAAATCCTTATATGAATCAAAGAATAAATCTAAGATTAACTTTTTTTATTAGTCTGTTTCTGTTATCAGGTAATTAAAAAGATTGAGCATATATTTCAGATATTTAATACACAACATTAAATACTAAATACAACACACAATCAATTATAAATTTAACAATAAGCAAACTCAAATAAAGAAATACATTATGACAAATAATTTTAGATAATAATTTAATGCCACGAAGTGTGCTTGTGAAATGGAAGAAAGCACTCGGCTGGTGCAGTAAATTAATTATTAAACATATTAAAAAAAAAAAATATATAAAACTAATTTGATTGTACTGGAGGATGTATGCTGTAGAACTAAGTTAAGTAAAATACACAAAAGTGAAAAATACGCCAGTACCTTTACAAGTTCGAATTTTCCATGGCGTCAGCTATTTGCTGAGTACTATATGAGGTGCGCCGTGGTGGTAATATAATATGTTTGTATATTTGAAACATGACAAAACATAGAACAATGACAAGAGTTAGAGCGACGCACACCTCTGTAAACAATGAACTTGATGGCCCATGTTTTATTTCTTGGCTAGCAGCCTTCTCTGTTAAGGGTTTGGCAGTAGAAATACCATCGACCTTTTTATTGATATCCGATATTTTACCAGCGACTTCAGACAATATCTTCTCCTTTTCCAACGTCAGCGTATTGTCAAACTCTTGCTTGATTCTCGCTATATATGGTAAAATATCTCCATTCGTAGAATTATCTTTGAGAACGGGCAGAGGTGTCGTGTTGATAGCAACAATCATTCGTAAAATCCTTTCGAGCAAAGAGTTTCCAACATTATTCTCGTGGACGATTTCATCCACGGCATGTTTAAATGTCTCTTTAAAAGCTGATATCAACATCGTATTACTAATATTTCCTTCGCGAATGGCCTCTTGAGTTTCAATTTTGATCGTTCGATTAAGCGATTCTAACAAACTGCCTAATTGTGTTGAAAAATTAGTGTCGGAATTGTGATTATTTGCAACTTTATCCTCATGGGCATCTTTAGACGATATATCTAAGAGAATATTGCGAATGTCAGAAAGTATATTGTCTGTTCCGTTTAATGATTGCGGTGTTAGCTTTATGGAACCAGCCCCGAGACACGTTATTCCATCTATATTTTCATAGCTACTGTATTCTAATTTCAATGCAGTAATTGTACTTATAATGTGTTTATTTTTTAGTTTTACTATATTATTGCAAGGTAGGGGATTACCGCCAATGCTAAGAACTGACAAATATAGTGAAAAATCATCCACGCTTATTTTTCTCACCTTGTTGAAGTCAATGATCAAAGTGCGTAAACTTGGAATACCGTAAAATGTATCAGTGTGCAAATCTTCGAGCTGGTTATATGATACGTCTAATTCATTTAGAGCAAAAAGTCCAAGGAATATACCAAAGCTAAGAGTCGTTAGTCGGTTATGAGATAAATTTAGTGCAGTTAAATACGAGTTGTATTTAAAAACACTGGGTTGTATGAACATTAACTTGTTATGACTTAAATCTAATGTCTCCAATCTACTTAAATTATTCAATGCCCCCAATTCTAACTTTTCGATCACGTTATTATTCAAAATCAGTATTTTAAGTTCTCGCAAATTGCTTAATTTGAGAGATGTAACGTTACTTATATTCGCTTGAGATATATCTAAGTCGGTTATTTCAGAATTTAGAAATTGTTCGAAATTCGGTGTTTTACATATTCCAGATAAATAGAGCTCCTTTAGTTTATTCAACACTGAAAGGGACGAATTGAATTGCATATCTCTATTATTCGACAAATCGAGGTATTCCAGTTCTTTCAGGTCGTAAAAAGTGCCATTATTTAACATTTTTATTTCATTATATGATAAATTAATAGTATGAAGTGTTGTTAACTTATTTATAATATCTGGTACAGTAATTGTTATCCGGTTATTATGAAGGTATAACATTTGCAGATTAGCTAAGGTAGATGAATTGATATTAAAACTTTCGAGGTGGTTATGAGATAAATCTAAAATGGTAATAGATCCTGTATTTTTAAAACTATTGTAGTTTATTATATTAAGATTACTGTGCGATATGTTTAGTGTATGGAGAGTGATCATTTCATTAAAGGAGTCGTTTTTAATAGTTGTTAAAGCCGTACACGAAATATCAAGAACCGGTAAGGAATTCAAACCTAAAAACGTGTTATCTTCCAAAGCCTCAGTCAGCGGATTTTTACCTATATCGAAATCAACCAACTCATTCAAACTGCTAAAACAATGGGACGACACTTTCGATATATTATTATTAGATAAATCCAATACTAATAGTACGTACAATCCGTCGAAATAACCTTCTGGTATTAATTTAATGAAGTTGTTCTTTATTGAAAATAATTCTAGCTTCAATAGCTCATCCAAATCAAAGTTCAAAGAAACAATTTTATTGTTTGAGATATCTAAGCGCTTTAGGTTCCTTAAGGAATAAAATGATTTATTTGATATATTTCGGATTTCATTACCGTTCAAAAGCAAACTCTCTACCATATTAAGCCCGACGAAAGCATAATCTTCAATGGATGTTACACTTTGATGGCTCAAGTCTAATTCCAATATTCCAGTTAAACCTTCAAATATACCCTTTATAAGTGCGCCTTCTAATTGGTTTCGGCTGACATCGAAAAACGTAACATTTTTACCTTTAAAAATAAACTTTGGCAGGGCTTGTATTTCGTTAATTGAAACATCAACGTAGTCTAAAGCATTCGCACTTAAAAACATACGTGGCTCCAAATACTGTATTAAATTGTTCTTTAAGTTAATTTTTACTATATTAAACATGTTAACGAAGGTTCCTTTCTCTATAACTGTAATTGCGTTATTGCTGAGATCTATTTCGTGAAGTTGGTTTAAATTCGAAAATTCATTGACTTTAATACACTGTAATTCATTGTTGTTTATGTACAGAAATTTTAGTTTCGTAAATCTTAAAAAAGAATTATTTATTGCTTTAAGTTTATTATACGCTATATTCAAATAGAGTAGATTTTTTATTCCTTCAAAACTGTTAAAACTCAGCGCTGATATTTCGTTGTGAGATAAATCTAACACTTCCAAACTGCGAACTTCGATTAAAATTGCGTCTTTCAATTCAGATAACCTATTGTGAGATATATTTAGTTTTAATAAATTTGAAATAGCATTTTCATTATCACCCACAATTATGTCATTTATATTGTTATAGGACACATCGATTTCTTCCAAATCAGGAAAACTGTTCTCTGTACTTAGCTTCATAGTAGACAATCTATTGTGAGATATATTTAAGGTTCGAAGTTTGCTCATGAGTGCTAATCGTGGTAAGTCATTGTAATCATTCTCACTGAGATCCAATGCTATTACTACTTCATTGAGTAAATATTGTGCAGCTTGGGACTGTGTTTTGGGAGTTTCTCTTGATTGGTCTTGCATATCTTGTTTGTATGATAAGGTAGTTAGCAAATAATACTGTCCTATGTAACCTGACTTGATAATTTTTTTTCCCTGACAGATTGACTCCGTCGAATCAATTGTTACGTCACCAATACACGTTAATTCCGTTAAGCACGATGTCTCATTGTTAATCTGTATGCAATCCGAGAAAACTGAAGTAATCTCACACTGTACGATGAGTAGTAACACCAATTCTGAAATAAATATTATATTGTTAACATTATGTAGAAAGTTCTCAGTGTTGCTTGTTGTTAGTGTTGCCTAATACTATCCTGAATTTTTTTTATGCATATTTACTAGTACTTTGACCGCAAAGCTCAATGGTTGACGTCCTGGGTCCGACGCGAGAAAAGACTGACTGAACAAAAACACTGTCTCGGTTGGAGAGAGCATAGAAATCTGATCAACTCATTGGCTGTAAATAAAATCTATTTGTGAAACGGACACAGAAGTATGTCCGCCTTATATACCCACTTAGTTCTAATAACTTCTTCCCCTTTTTTCACAAACGCCAATGTTTATATTCCCGCATTGGGCCCTCTTTAAACCATTCACTAATTTACATTGATTATAATACATTTAAATAAATCATTTTAAACTTTTCAAAATGCAAAATATATTTTATTATTTATTTTACCTATGACCCGACGTTTCGCGAGGTCACACGTCGACAAAACGGAACTGCAAAACACCGGAAAAGTCGGAGTGTCGTAAAATAATTAATTTCGCGTTTTAAACCGTTGAAAGCGTTTTTCAAACTCGCCGACAATTGTAATTAGAACTAATGCTAACGTTTACCGGGTTACCTAGTGTATTATAAGAAATAAGAATAACTTATCTAAATGTTAAACTTCCGCTACGTCAGGCGTTTATTGAGGACTAATAAACAGATTGACGGTTAAAAAAGCAGTTTATAATTAGTTGCATTTTCTTTCGACCCGATGTTGCATTTTCCTTTCGATTATGTTTTATTCAATGTACTCAAAGAGCCTTCTTATTTATTCTTTACTGATGGTGTGAATGCCTAATGCACGCCCACGTCAGGCAATAGTGAAGTGGGGAGTGTGGTAAATCGTATAGCCGACCAGAATCACTAAACACACATCTACCGTGCTTCGAGGGAGCCCTGTTACTCAAAGAGCCCAGTGGTTACAACTTAAAGTAAGGCCTTACTTACTCGTTAATGACTTAGCCATCCTCTTGAATGTATCTGAAAATAGAAATCGTTAATTTTATTTTAATAACAGAGGACAAGGGGGGCTCACTTGGTATGTTATATACCTCAGCCTAAAGCATCTAAACAAGATGCGGTGTCGCCTCTTTTGGGTTTGGATATTTGGAAATCCAAACACGGAAACCGAAACGCGATTAAGCCTCACACCTTTATCATCTGTGGGTTGTGGTTCGTGACCCAAACGAAATTTCTGTACCTACCACCCATTTAAAATCCGGATTTCCAGACGAAGTCCAACACGTTTCCGAAAAAATTGAATTGAAAACACATGACCCGTTGATTATTAACGTTTCGGATGCTTTGCAGCAGCCGTGGTCACGGGGGAACGTCGGGCCGAAGTTAAAAATCATTTTCAAATAAGTTTAACTAATATGTCACGTTTTAAACCGTTAAAGTGTTTTATTTAAATGTGTACTACTCGCGTAAACTATATACAGTATTTAGTACTTACATGATTATTACAGTGTTTCACTAAAAGTAGTTATTATAGTTTAATGATTAAGTCAGTATTATGACGACTGCAAGTCAGCTCTGTCTGCAAAGCACTGATTTGGCAATCAACAGAAATATATTATAAAAATGGATCGCTGAATGTGTTACTAAGCGAAAACAATTGATAACATTCTAGGAGGAACAATATAAAAAAATAACTCTTCCTATACGGCTACACAAGGTTTTCGTAATAATACGTAAACGCCAATTTTAACTTACAATGAGCAAAAAGTTTAGATCTCAGTAAAAAGTTTCCGTGAAGGCAACCATAACGTTAGAAATCAATCTATACTATACAAAGCTGAAGAATTTGTTTATTTGTATGTTTGAACGCGCTAATCTCAAGAACTACTGGTTCGAATTGAAATTTATTGTGTTACTTAGAACGTTTATTGGGGAAGGCTATAAGGCTATAAAACGCGCTGTGACAAATAGGAGCGAAAGAACAGCGGGAAATGTGGAAATAAATGGGGGAAATTATTCTACTCTCCACGCTACTACGCTGAAAAAACGGCTCCAAATACCTAAAAAGATATGTACAGAGAATGATTCCCTTTTAAATTATGAAAAAACCAAAGTCCGCGACACCATATGACTTTTTTTAAAGATTTACTTGCTAGAATGACGGGACCTATAGATGCCCAAAATTTCTATTCTACGCGGACGAAGTGGCTGATACAGCTAGTATTGATATAATGATATATCTTACTAGCTGTTACCCACGACGTCCTCTGCTTCCCGACGTTCTTGCAATTTAATCTTAAAGTCAAAAACATTTATTCATGAAGGTAACTAATAACACTTAAAACACTTAAACAAAAACTTTAAACTTAAACAAGTTTATCAGTTAAAAACTAAAGACAAGAAAATCAAATCAAGGGCTAGAACGAACGAGAAGAACTGGCAAAAAACTCGCCGCCACTCCTTTTATCCCCAGGTTTCATTCTTCACGTATATATATCTATAAGTACAATACGATTACGAAACTTACGATAAATGGCGTCAATATTTTGTTAAGAATTATAATTTAGTGTAGAATAATAAATATATAATATTATATTAATAAATAACTAATTTCTAACAATGAACTCAAAAGCGATAATAAAATTACTTTATTAAACATTAATATATTTGGATCGATAACTATAAAACTGATTTGATAATATAACTCTTGTTATATAAGACTGCTAGAGGCAGAGTGGCCTAATAACAGAAAACATGATTTTTAAAAAGAGGAAAAAGTGCGCAATTCACTTAGGCGATTTTTTGTGTAAGAATTATGTTAACACTTTTGTCACTGTGCTCTTGAAGATTAACATTTTTAGACTATAAATAAATAACTCAAGTCATAAAATTGCAGTTAGGCCACTCTGCCTCTGGAGGCTTCATATGGTTGGGGTAATTCACCTTCCATCAAGTCAACGCCATGCTGGTTCTCCTCTATCACAATAAATATGACATGGAACATGGAACTCATAAATATGAACACGAAAAAGTAAACTGAAGTAGGACTTTTATCGAAAAATCAACAAATGAACAAAAAAATATACTTACTTTTTCCAGTACCGAGTTGATCTAACTGAATTTGTTACATCATCACTGGCCGCTTGTTTCTAGTTTAATACTTTTATATATATAACTGATAGATAAACACCAAAATTAGGGTTCCGTACGTGAAAATATTTCTTATATAATACAATGAAAAGCCTTTATTTGAATACTATCTATAGTTCACGCGAGTAGTACACATTTAAATAAAACACTTTAACGGATTAAAACACGATAATAAGGTTCACTAATAAACTTATTTGAAAATGATTTTTAACTTCGGCCCGACGTTTCGGATGCTTTGCAGCTGCTGTGGTCACGGGGAGACTCCCCGTTAAAATAATTTTCAAACAAGTTTAACTAAAATATCGCGTTTTAAACCGTTAAAGTGTTTTATATAAAAACCTTTATCTGATTAAAAACGATTAAGTGCAGTTGTGGAATATTTAAGAAATTAAATTTTTAATATAAGATTAAAGTGAATTTTCATAAGCCCTGTCAGGTGGAGGCCTATTCCAAATTGGTCATGCAGTTTTCGTTGTATTTTATTACTTCTAATTTACACTTTTTTTATGATTGGCAGTCTACTCGATGATAAATGATATACCCCAGCCTATAGCATCTAAACAAGATGCATTGTCTGTGATCCTATTTTGGCGCTGTTTTGGCTTTGGACATTCGGAAAGGCGCAGGCTAAAACCGAAACGCGAGTAAACTTCACGGCGTTTTCACCTGTGTATGGTGGTTCGTGACCCGGACGGAATTCCTGCATTCCTACCACCATTCAATATCCAGATTTATAGACGAAATCCGGTTCATTTTTCAGAATAATTACGAAACACGTTGGACCGGGTGGAAGTCACGACCCGTTGATCATTAGCCATACATCGCCACCATTAGGCCAAGAAGCCCGTCCAATCAATTCGTTCCTCTGGCTCGCACTTTGTACGTGGCAATGTAGAGTTATAATCATCGTAAATACTGTCTGTAGTTTACGCCAGTAGTACGCATTTAAATAAAAGACTTTTACGGTTTAAAACGCGATATATATTAGTTGGACTTATTTTTATCTTTGTAGCAATGCCATCTTTAGTCTCCCCGTGACCAGAGCTGCTGCTTTTTTTTCACTTCTCGCTGTATCTTCGCTTGGATTAGTCACAGGGCGATGTTTTATAGCCTATAGTCCGCCTCGATAATTGCTCTACAATAATATTTTTTCAATTCGAACCCATACTTTTTTAAATTAGCGCGTTCAAACAAACAATTTCTTCAGCTTTATATATAAGTATAGATTTAGGTCTTTGTAAAACTTCTTCATTTCTAAGATCGAGGATATGGTTGAAAAAGAAAGGAATACCTCGATTTACAACAATGTTTTAATCGCTTATTTACTGTGTCATTGTTTATGAACAAATGTAGGAGTAGTAATAAATAAAACATATTAAAGAGGAACACTTACCAGATAAAACATTTATTCCAATTGATTAATTTTTGTTTATACAAAATTTATCTTTATTTAACAGTTAGGTTATACACAATATACATAAAACTTCGACGTCTTTATCAATTGCTTTACATCAAATCGAAAATATCAAATAACGAAGACTGAAAGAAAAGAAGACACAGAAGAGTGTCGGACCTATGACTAACAGCGTTCCTGCTGTCAATTGAGCTATAGTTCTTTGCTCATTGCTTTCTTTAGTCCTCGATGCAGGCTTATTGGCACAATTTAATTTCGAACATATATTATAATCAATAAACCACATTAAAAATGGTTAATTCAATTTTCAATTTCCCCACATCGATCCCCTTAAAAAACAATAGTCAAATTATGTCGTGTTAACAATAACTGAAGTGATCGGACATTTCTCATTTATAAGTACTGCATTACTTATAAATTAGAATTGTCTAAAACAGCGATGTGTTGTGTACTATAAGACCTCCGGCGCGGCGTCAATATAATACGGTCGTATATCTTATATACTATACAACAGATCAGCATTATTAAAATTATGGTTATACAAATCTCAGTGAAGAGAAGCCTGGAGTTTTGTTTTACAATTTCGGGATTCGTTGTATTCTGTTCGGTTAATAACTTCGATGTTGGTACGTTTTCTAACATTCTTTTCATAGACGCTATTTTCTCATTAACATCAGCTAGTATATTCTCCTTTTCAATGATCAAAGAATTTTCAAATTCTTCCCTTATCTTAGAGATGAGCGGTAAGACATTTCCATTTGTTCCATTTATATTCACCGTTGCGTCGACACTGGTCTTCTTCGCAACAATCATTTTTAATATTCTCTCTAGTAAAATATTGGTTACATTGTTATTGTTAGAGGTATCGTGGGTATATTTTGTATCATTGACAAGATCGATCATCATTTCGATCGTTTTATTAAACTCTTGTAGAGTATTTTGAAATATATTATTGCTTTTATTAAAATAGTTAATTAAATTGTCAAATTTTGAGTCGTCCACACCAGTGTAGACAGTGTTGTCATTATTGATCGATTTATTTGAAATATTTATTAAAACGTCCTTAATATCACTTAGAATATCTATATTTGCATTAACAGATTCGTGTGTTTCTGCCCGTTTACGTTCGATGCGACCGTGGCATGAAATACCGTCAATATTTTCTTTGCTATTATCTCCTAAGGCTATGGATGTTATATTTGTACCTTTATACTTACTTTTCAGGTTTACTAAATCATTACAAGGAAGTGGATTACCTCCAATACTGAGAATGGAAAGTTCGAGAGAAAAGTCTTCAGAAGTTATTCTGCTAATCTTATTAAAGTCTACAATGAGAGAACGAAGATTTTGGACGCCGTAAAGCCTATCACTTTGTATGTTTTTTAATTCGTTGTATGAAATATCCAAAGTTGTCAAATGTATGAGACCTCGGAATACTCCGTAGCTTAGGAAAGAAAGCCGATTGTGCGATATATTTAAGTACTCCAAATGATAATTGTCAGTGAATACTCCTGGTTGCACAAACGTTATATTATTGTAACTTATTTCCAAAGACATCAGCTTCGTAAGATTGTCAAACGCTCCTACTTCTAATTTGCCGACCTCATTATTGTTTAGCACCAGTGACTGTAGTTCATAACAATACTTAACTCCAATGGCAGTTATATTAGTAATATTTGATTTCGACATATCCAAATCAGTTATTTGAAAAGCAGACGTGCCATCGAATTGTGTGTTATCATTTTCTATACCGGAAATAAAAAGTGTTTTTAAATTTTCCGCGTTCTTTATAAGTGTAGTATTTAACTTCAAATGTGCGTTAAATGATATATCTACATATGACAATTGTTTAAGAGTACTAAACTCGTTATCTTTCAGTGACTTTAACTTGTTGAAGGACAAATTAATACAATTTAAGAAGTCCAATCCTGCAATAGGCGCAAGCACTTCGATAAGATTATGACTTAGGTAAAGAGTTCGCAAGCTATTTAGACTTGTCGTGTTTATCTTAAACGTTTTAAGGTAGTTATATGAAAGATCAAGAATATCGATTTTTCCAGTGTCTACGAAGCTATTAAAACTTATATCCTCAATTGCGCTGTGAGAAATATTGAGAGTGTGCAGGTCATGCATTTGGTTAAAGGAGTTATTTTTTATCGTCGTTATATATGTGTTCGATATATCAAGAATCGATAACGCACTTAATCCTTCAAATGTATAATCATCTAAAACTCCGGCTAAAGAATTGTTATAGAAAACAAAATTTTGTAGCTGGTTTAAACCCGCTAACGAGTGGGGCTCTATTTTAGTAATGTTATTATTTGAAATATCCAAAAAATCTAAAGCTGCGGTCCTGGCAAAAAACGTCAGAGATATGGACTTTATTCTATTATTTTTAATTGATAAAAAATTGAGCCGTACAAGATCACTCATATCAAAATCTAATACGGTGATTTCGTTGTTTGAAATGTCTAATCGTGTCAAACTCTCTAAAGACTTAAATGATTTCTGTGATATATTTTTGATAAGATTATTGTTGAGTAATAGCACCTCTAAACTTTGCAGGCCTTTAAATGCATAGTCTTCCAGGGAAGTCAATGTTTGGTAACTGATATCTAATTCTGGGACTCCGTACAATCCTTCAAATGTACCTTTCATTAGAGCACCCTGTAAATTATTTTGACGTATATCGAATATCGATATATTTTTACCATTAAAAGTGCCCTCCGAAAGTGAAACAATCTGATTGGACGATAAATCAATGCCTTGCAATAATTTAGTATTTATAAAAATGTTAGTATCTAACATTGATAACATGTTATGCTTTAAATTTATGCTTGTTACTTCGAGCATATTTTGAAACGCATTTGATTCAATCGAAGATATTAAATTGTAACTCAAATCTAATTCTCGAAGGTGAGTCATTGTGTTGAAGTCATTAAATTTGATACTATGTATTTCGTTATTATTTAGATACACGTATTGCATTTTAGCAAATCTGAACAAAGATGAGTTTATTTCTTGTAGCTTATTGTGTCCTAAATTTAAATGTATTATATTTTTAAGCCCCTCAAATGTAACAGCATTCAGCGATATTAAAGAGTTGTGTGACAAATCTAAATATTGCAATTCATTTAGTTCACTAAACAGGGCATCTCTTAAGCTTACAACGTTGTTATATGAAATATTTAGTTTTTTCAAATTTGCGAATGGAAATTCCATGTCACTCATTCTAATATCCTCTATACGGTTATGAGATACGTCAAGTTCTTCTAAAGCGGGGAATCGAAGTTCAGCACTCAGTTTCGCATCAATCAGGGCATTGTTAGATACGTTCAATATATTCAAAATTGGCATAGACGCTAAAGTAGGAAACTGGATTAACCGATTGTTGCTAACATCAAGATATTTAACAAGATCGCCAAGATTGAAATTGTTATATCCTGCGAAATAAGGGAGTTTATCGTACGCCCTGTCCAATTTTAATGTGACTTTCATGGGCATATAGTTTATTGTACCATAACTTGGATTATACTTTTGGATACCATTGCAGTGGTGCCAAATAGAAGAGTAAGGGTCTACATATTGTACATCAACATCATTCGTACAATATGCATAATCCAAGCATGATGTTTCTTTTATTTCATGAAGGCAGATTCCAAAACATGACATTATCCCCAAATCCAAGAACACGAAAAACAGTATTGTTTCTGAAAAGAAAGAATTAAATAAATTCACATAGTGTGAGTAAAAAATTATAGATTATAAGACGTTATATTATGTAATTACTTATGGCATGGCAGACAAGCAGGGCGTTCGCAGGTGGAAGTTAAAATACCCTAGCCCTGTAACACGTAATTAGCATGTGTGGTCGACCTATTTTGGATTTGGGCTTTGCGAAATCTACAGACCGGAACTGGGACGCGGATGCGCACTCAAATGTTTTTTTGATCTGACTATTGAGGTTCTATTGAGGTTCGATAAAAACCAAAACCAATATTGTGGAATGATTAGACATTAACATGTTTTTAAAATAATCTTTATAGCAATTTACAAACATGTTGGACCCGATGGGAAATGAACCCACTACCCGTCGGTTACTAGACCATTAATGCATATTCTACATACTTTAAATTACAAGTATGCGTGCAATTTAAAAATCGAAAATAAAATGAAAAACAATTCGACTCGGGCAGGCCTTAAACGACATCGTCAGCGTTCCGTGGTGTTGAAAAAAATTTGTCGATGAGGTGTAGGACTCGGTAGCTCAATTGGTAGAGCAACAGCACGGAACGCTGCTGATGACGCTGACGCCGACGATGCCGGTTCAAGGCCTGCCTGAATCGATTTTTTTTTTTTATTTATTTTCGATTTTTAAGACTGCACCTTTTTTTATAAAGCTATAACACAGGCGGAAATCGAACCCACGACAGGTGACGTACCAAATATTAAGACAATATATTAATTATAAGTATGCATGTAGCTTTATATCATATAAAAAAACTGCAGTCAGGCAGAAAACATACAGAACAACTACGATGCTATAGCATAGACCAGAAATGAGTTCGCCCCAAGCCCCACTGGAGAAAAGGGATTTAATTTTAATTTTTAGTGAAGTACAGTAAAAGACACTCACTGATTAAAATAATCATCATTGAAATTGCGTATTTTTATCGCTAAGTTTAAAAACACTCGGCCACGTACAACCAACAGCAACACTAAGTTATAACTAAAAATGTAATCTACATTTACACAAAATGTGGAGTTCCTTAATACAAATATAAATACACTAGCTCTGCCAGCGACTTTATCCGTGAAGAATATTTATTTTGGGCTTGCAACCCACGATTTTGCAATTTAATCTTGAAAGATAGACTACATGTTTTATAGTCGCGGACATTTTTTAGTATCATTTAAAAAGGAATCATTCTTTCATACATACTTTTTGGGTATCTTGAAGCATTTTCGCAGGGCACGCAACTAAAATCCTTAAAGATACATGATATGCCCTCATGGCTCTAAAATTCCCACTGTTCCCATGTTCTATAACCTAAAACCTTCGTGAATAAATATTTTAAATAATACAAAAATAATTGTTCGATTCGAACTAGTAGCTCTTGAGATTATCGCTTACAAACAAACAAACTCTTCAGCTTCAAAATATTAGCATAGATTTTTCTTTTAAATAAAACACTTTAACGGTTTAAAACGCGATATATTAGTTAAACTTATTTGAAAATCTCCCCGTGACCACGGCTGCTGCAAAGCATCCGAAACGTCGGGCCGAAGTTAAAAATCATTTTCAAATAAGTTTAACTAATATATCGCGTTTTAAACCGTTAAAGTGTTTTATTTAAATGTGTACTACTCGCGTAAACTATAGACAGTATAGATTTTTCTGTCACTCTTCGGTCCGACGACTACGGCCACGGTCTCACACAGTGACCTGTGACCACGGCTGTAACAGCCGCAGTATATTTCGCGTTTTAAACCGTTAATGTTTTATTTAAATGTGTACTACTCGCGTAAACTGCAGAGATTATTGTATTGTAAATTTTAATTATTCTTTCGGTTGAGTACATAATTTAATTCAAGCATACAGCTGTTTAAATTATTTTTTACAACATACGGAACACGAAATCCATAATTAGATTCCCTTTTGACCACTCTTCGAATGATTAACAGGATACTAGCTATCACTCGCAGTTCAGGGATGACTATTTATACACAAAATGATAATTATTATTGACTAAATATACTTCTTTATTTCTGTAACTATTTCATTAAGTATTTATTAAAAAATAAATAATATATTTTTATTGGTTTTAATAAAACACGAGTAGCCATAAATTGTATTTCAGTCTATGGATTTAAGAAAATCCAAAGCCTAAATAGATCGGCAGCGCATTGTTCGTTTTTTATTATTATGATGGAGAAGCACAGACAAGCACAAGGCATAGTTGATGATTGATAAAATACTCCAGCCATATAACATCTAAGCAAGACGCGCTGGCGCTGGCGCTGGCGTCCTATTTTGACTTTAGATATTCGGAAATGCATAGATAGAAAACGAAATACGATAAAACTTGACGGCTATTTGATCTATGACCGTCGGTTCGACAATCTCTGACATTCCCACCAAGACCTATCAAGAGATAGAAGTCGGGGTCGAACATGTTCCAGAAGAAATATAAAGTGGTTAGATAAATTTTGGACCTGGTGGGGATCGCACCCACGACCGATTATCATACATTGCTACCATTACACTAACTAGCCCGGCGATCGGATGTAAATATAGCTGTCGTATTTTACCTTTCGTCAAATGAAGCTCAGCAAAACGGAGCGTTTTGCTCTGATACAAAAGCTTGGATTTCGAGCTGCCTAGAACCCTCATAATCAAGAAGGACCACGTAGCGTTGCAATATGCTGGTCAACAACACGTGAATTCAATTTCCGCTCGCATCATACATTTTTCTAGTCAACTAAAAAATAACTTACCTCTGACATATTTATGATTCAAGAGCAACGTTGAAACTAGAATAAAACACGTTTAACAGTTCAATACGCGAATATAAGTAATTCCTAATTAAGTAATACGTCCCGAATTGTCGAGGCTTTGCAGCTGCGGTGAGCATACCATCCCCCCCCCCCCCATCGTCTGGATCGTAGTGATAATAAGTTAAACCCTTGAAAAGTTTTATTTATATATCTTTTTTTTATTAATCTAAAAAGCGACAACCCTAGGTATATCGACAATATAGACACAGTTAATATTGATAAGACCTTAAACAATACATTTTTTGTTTAATTATACATTAGACGTATTTATTTGGCTTAATTTGAATGGGCTTTTGGACCCATCTATTGTTATTACTACGCGCTTATTAACTAATCTATTCTAACGCGCAATAAGTCAATACATATAACACTTTAACGGTTTAAATCGCAATCTATTTTAGTTTACTCCTTTGAAAACTATTTTTAACTATTTTTTTCGGATGCTTTGCAGCAGCCGCGGTCACAGGAAGACTCGGGTATGGCTCGGAGTTTAAATTAATGTTTAACTAAAATATTTCGCGTTTTTTTAAATATGTACTACTCGCGCAAACTACAGACAGTATTTCAGTATCTATTTAGTTTAGAAATTTTTTATTATGTACTCATCTATACTAATATAAAAAGCTGAAAAGGTCGTTCGTTTGTTTGACCGTGGTATTATCAGGAACTACTGGTTAGAATTGAAAAATACGTTAATTTAATTTATATACTGTCTATAGTTTACGCGAGTAGTACACATTTAAATAAAACACTTTAACGGTTTAAAACGCGATATATTAGTTAATTTTTTACTTTGACGTCAGAGACATCCTCCATCTTTAGTCTCCCCGTGACCACGGCTGCTGCAAAGCATCCGAAACGTCGGGCCGAAGTTAAAAATCATTTTCAAATAAGTTTAACTAATATATCGCGTTTTAAACCGTTAAAGTGTTTTATTTAAACGACTTATGTTGCTTAGACTATTTATCGAGGAAGGCTCTAAAACATCGCGCTGCGACTAATATGCGAAAAGAAATACCGGGAAATGTGCGGAAACAAGGAAAACTCTTTGTGAGTTTCCGTCGCTTACGCTGCGAGAACGGTTTAAAATTTCCCAAATTTCATAGCTGACATAGCTATAGTAGTATTAGTTCTTTTATACAATATACATAGATAAGATAGATATAAGGGCGGGTTTGTGCGAACATAACATATGATATTTTACAACGGATTTAATTATTCAGATAAAATTAAAAAAAAAAAACGCTTTTTTATGGACAACAGACAAAGTCGAGGCTTTTGTTGTTTATTTATTTTATTTATTTCAACTATGTCTCAAAGTTTTGGATGCTTTGCAGTAGCCGTTGAGGGGGTAAATATTAAAAATAACGCTACTACAATGCAAGGAAAACGTCGGGCCGTAATTAAAATAAAATATGTCGCGTTTCAAACTGTGAAACGTGTTTTAATTACGTGTGAGCTACTCGGGTAAACCAGAGACAACATTTGAAAACTCTAATTTTACATGTTGCCATTATAGAAATTAAAAATTGTTTTTTGGTTAGAAGAAAATTACACGGGCAGGGTTTGAACCAGCTCCGGGGTTTTAAATTCGGCAACAACATTTCTTTTGGTCTTTAAAACACCATGTTGCATACTATGCCAAAATACATTTTATCAAGAATGTATTATTTAATATTATAAATGCGAAAGTAAATCTGTCTGTTTGTCTGTCCGGATTTAACGCCCAACCTACTGAACCAAATTAAATGAAATTAAGTACACAGAAATTCTAGTGCCTAAGAAAAGACATACCTAGGCTACTTTTTAATGCCAAAAAAGGGTTGTCGGGGTTGAAAATGGGAAATGAAAATTTGTATGGAAATTCATGATTTTTGAAGCTAGAATGACACTTTCTTCTTTAGCTTTTTGGGAATGGGAGTGAGAGTGGGAGTTAGAGTTGGAGTGATTGTGAGATGAAAGTGGGATTGTTGCGGCAAATTAGCACTTACAACACAGATTAGCTGCCTTGAATGCGCCTTTTTCGATGGCATGCATTGTAAAACCTTTTGCTGTAAAAAAATGTAGTAAGGGGTTGAATTATGATAAAAAACATTTTACTAAAGTGACATTTCCACGCGGTAGAAGTCGCGGGCACAGCTAGTTGTATATAAATGTGAACTGCATAAATTTACAACAACTGCAAAACAGACAAGGCACACTATAAATAGTATTTCTAAGTATTTCAAAGATTAATACAAATAATAATATAGACGCCGCACAGCTCATAGAACGTGGTATGTTTTTATTAAAAGTCGGTGGTTTTTCGCCACATACTTTTTTAAACTGCCAGTAACCTAAAGTGTTAACAACTGTGACACGAGATGGCGTTAGAAATCGTACATTGAATTTTGATACAGATTATACAAATTTTAGTCATAATTTTTTTAGGCTTTTGCGACCATTTTGCAAGGCTTCTTGGGTTTTGAAACTGTTTGGCCGTCGTGACTGCAAATCTTATTTCCCGTCGAAAAAAAATCTACATCAGAAGATGTTGCGCGTTCTTTGAAATTATAATAATGATGGAGGTTTCGTTTTTTTAGGCCTTTATTAGGGTTAAAAACTTTTTCTTAGAATATGAATACGACATCAACTACAAGTATCTAAGTGTAATCTTGCCTTAGTAGCCAAGTAGAAATAACTATCATCATCTTCATACTAGCCAACATCTTTACCACGATTCTAACCCAGGACGTCGACAGTTCATGGCAACGCTGGGCAAAGTGGTGGCAAAAATACCTAACTATATTCAAAATTGTCTTCTACATATATTATCTTCTATTGAAAGAACGGAGAAATTCAATACTGTCTATAGTTACGCGAGTAGTACACATTTAAATAAAACACTTTAACGTTTTAAAACGCGATATATTAGTTAAACTTATTTGAAAATGATATTAACCTTGAGAGACTGCGGCTGCCCGTAACTGCAAAGCATCCAAAACGTCGGCCCGAAGTTAAAAATCATTTTCAATTAAGATTAACTAATATATCGCGTTTTAAACCGTTAAAGTAAAGTAATGTCACATATATACAAAAAGAAAAACAATAAATCGTGGCTGAATTTCTATGATATGACTAGCTGTGCCCGCGACTTCGTCCGCCTGGAAAAGTTTACAAATTATATTGGAAAAATAACCTCCTCAGCTTTATAAATTACAGCTGTCGCGATAATCTTAATAGAATGACATATACTGATTTTCCACATTTCCCTGTATTTCTTCGCTTCCATTAGCCACAGCCTTATGTTTTATAGCCTACGGCCCCTCTCGATAAACGCATTCAAACAAGCACTTTAGCTGTATAACATTAATATAGATGGCCATGTCGCATCTGCTGCTTAATCTTTGCCCACATACCTGTATCAATATTTCGCTATGTCAGCGAAATTGGACATCGAATTTTACACTCATCAAATGTAATATAGACACTGCATTCAGTTCTCGCTACCGGCGATGTGACATCCAGGTAGGCTCCTTCTATTATTACTTTTATTGCTGGCTTTAATTATAATTAGTGAAATATACATAGTATCTATTGTGTGTATTTGCAATCCATCGAGGATAAAACAGATACAAAATTATGAAAGAAGGGCTAGTGATGTACATTTCTAAGTTATTATGTATACTAGTCATACCAAAAAATTTAGAATTTCCTAAACAAAATGTATATGTTTGTTCTTTAATTACTTTCACTCACCTTTTCATTATGTATTCTAATCGGCACTCTAAGTTAACAGTTGTATACCACGAATCGACATTCGTGAGTTAAACTGGGAATTTTAACAAAGTTAACTCTAAAATGTTCACCGACCACATTTCAAACAAATTATTTCACATATTTTCCAGTTTTCCAAGTTCGAGTTTGGCTTCATTAGTTCAACATGAATCCAGGTACGTACAGTTTTATAGTTACGATAGTTAAACATCATTTAAATGAATGATAAAAAAGTATTAAATAAAACACTTTTAACGGTTCAAAACGCCACATATATTTATTCATTGCCGCTGTGTTTAAGAAGTACTTAAGAAATTAAGTTATATATTAAAATTAGTATTCAAACCATTTTACATGTTTTTTAATGTTGATTAAAATAATAAAACTTTCCACACTAAAGTTAAAGAAAGTGTAGTACACATTGTAGAAGACTTGTCAGCTATACAAAATTACTTTTGATGGAAAGTATCATTCTATATTATTAGTATAAGAAGAATATAATGACCTAGAAACTATGTTGATATCGCATAAGATCCTTAATTCTTTTCATTTAGATTTGGAAATCTTAAATAAATTAAAACTAAATTTTCAGGAGCTCTCGTTTTGTTCCTGGTAATGGCACCATCTGTCCTCTGCGAGTGCCCCCTGAACAAGATACACAACTTGGGCACCTGCGTTTACAATTTACACTGCTTCCACAACGTAACTAGCAAGGGTTTGCTTAGAGAGTGCCTTGGCTCCACAAACCACGCAGTCATCGTGGACGTCACCCTCGTCGATGCTACAGATAGATTTGATACCAGCTCAGATGTAGAATTCCTCTCTTTGATAACAACGCTTAAAGTATCCGGAAATTGGCCCGAAACGAACCTCACCTTCCTAGAGAATATGTACAGGCTGAAGTCGTTAAATTTAGCAGAAAACAATATTAAGATCATAAATGACAGCCCGTTCCGTCATCTTAACAGACTAGAAGATCTCAACTTATCTAAGAACCAACTCTTTGATATCGAGGAATTGTTCCAGTTCGACTCTTACCCGAACACAGTTAGAAAACTATGTCTCGCACACAATTACATCGAAGAAATCCCAGGAGATACCTTTTCTGAACTCACCAATCTGGTGCACCTCGATCTATCTTACAATTATATCACAGAGTTGTCTGAAGAACCATTCTCGAACTTAACGAACCTGGCGACCTTGAAGTTAAACCACAATCGTATACAAAACTTGAACGGCGCGATGAATAATCTTTTAAACTTGAAACACCTGCACTTGGCACACAACAACATTAAAAACATAGAAGAAGAGTCGATCAAGATCATTTCCCACCTCGAAACGTTGGACATTTCCAAGAACCAACTGGAGAATTTGAAACCGATATTGTTTTCGAGACACTGGATCCATTTTGGCGATCATTCGATTTGCAAGATAATACTTTCAGATAATCATATTGCGTACGTTCCTAATGCGACGGTTATAACAGAGCAAAAGTCTCGACAAATAAGAAACTCGTTTAGACCGACTAAAATAATCGATGTGTTCACGGAACTTGACCTGTCTCATAATTCCATTACGCACATAGAATACAACGCGTTCCAATCCATCGTCCAGTTGACCTCCTTGGATATATCGAACAATAGACTGATAACATTTGACGTCAACACGACCGATCTTCGATTCGTAAAGTACCTCAATTTGAGCAAGAACTTTCTCCAAACTCTTCAGTACAGTAGCTTCGCGTCTATGATCAACTTGCAAAACCTAGACTTGTCTTTCAATAAGATGGACTTTATTCCGGACCAATCTCTAATGAACAATTATAGGCTGAAACTCATGAATATGACGTTTAATGAAATACTTGAGATCCGACGTTTAAGAATAACCTTCGATCGGGAGGGTGGAGTGCTAGATCTTTCCAACAATGGAATAACTAACTTAAATCTGCCACCGGGTGATGCGTACGGTCTGACATTTCTGAGATTAAGATCTAACAATATAACAAAGCCGTCACTTATAAAGCTTAACCATCAGCCTAATCTTGCGCAACTTGACATGAGTAAAAATCTAATCGAAGAGCTAGATTCGGAGTCGTTACAACTGCCGGTGGTGTTGGGCATTCTTGACCTGACCCATAACTTGATACAGAAGATCGGGCCATCCTCTTTCCACCGAGTCAGTCATTTGAAGACTCTTCGTCTGTCCTATAACAAAATAACCTCTATAGAGTATGGCGCTTTCGAGGGTCTATCTTCCCTCGTGAATCTCGACCTGGCTTTTAATAACATATCCCATTTAGATTCGAAGACGCTGATGGACCTAAAACAGCTGAGCGTTCTTTCGCTGCGCAGTAACGATCTCCTGTATTTGGATCATAGTAGCTGGTTTGCTCATAAACAAGTGTTGCGAGTGTACTTGGATGATAATAGTTTCTCCTGCGACTGGCTGGCGTTAGCGTTGAGCGACTATAACAATGGTTACTCGAAAATGTGCCCGACTGTACTCAATACGAATATAAATGGCCATTCCATAGAAGGCATACCGTGCAAGCAAGAAGTTGGTGCAATCATGGATTCTCAACAAAACTACAATATAGCTGACGAAAGACTTCTAGTGACCAATCAGAAAATCTTGGAGGCCGTTCAGGAACAGACCTCCTTCTTGAGGAAGTACATGTGGCGTTTCGTTTTGCACGATGCCGAGAAAAAAAATAGTAAATAAGCACGTATTTTAATGTCTGTATCTTTCTTTTTTTTTCTTATAAGTGTACCAACCAGTGTTAAGTACAAACAATTTTTAACTTTAATAAAAAATGACAATTCATAAGCATTGGTGTTTCATTTGTCTACCTACACAAAGATTTCTCAAAATAATATACTGGGGTAAAAGAAATCCATTTTTTTAGGCGCTTCTTTATATTATATCAATACAAATACCAATTTTTTTGTGACTACACAAGTAGCAACTTAAAAAAACTTTGAAGTTAAACAGTTTTATTTTTTATGCACTAAATATTACAAAAAAATGACATAAACATCGTGTTTTACTAGTGTAGTAGCCATTTGATACCAATATTGAGGGGGTTAAGGAAAAATATGTAATCCGCCATTTTGTATCAGTGGCCATCTTGGAGTTTATAATGTTTTTATTATATTGTATCGTCATCTAAATTAAGGTGCTTAAATGTCAAAAAATAAAAAAATCCTCGAATTCAGGATAATCATCACCATAGTCAACGGGAAACACCGCAGCACATTCTTCTTCGCCGATTTCATCATCTTTGCTGACGTGTGACGGCGCCAGGTCTATCAGCTCAAGTAATGCTACGTCATTTAGTGTTGAAACCATGAACGCGATTTTCACTTCGTCACTGAAACATTTAATTACTTTGTGTTATTGTGAATTACTTGAAACCTTTATTATTTTTACACAAATAGTACACATTGAAATACAACACTTTAACGGTTTAAAACGCGATATATTAGATAAACTTATTTGAAAATGATTTTTAACTAAGGCCCGACGTTTCGGATGCTTTACAGCAGCCGTGGTCCTAATATATCGCGTTTTAAACCGTTAAAGTGTTTTATTTAAATATTTTTTACTTGCTATCGAAGGCACTATATAATTAAAAAATCAAAAATTGTAAAAAAATTGACTCTGGCGGGACTTGAACCGGCGTCAGCGTTCCGTTCGTCAGAGCAACAGCACGGAACGCTGACGATGCCGGTTCACGTCCTGCCCGAGTCGAAAATGTTTTCAATTTATTTTCGATGGTTAAATTGTAAATTACTTTAAAAATTTTTACTTAATGACGCGAGTTAGTGTTAGAATTTGGTTTTGCTTGTTGGTGTTATGCAATGTAAAGGCTAATAGTCGGGTTCGATCCCCGCCGGGTCCAAAATGATTCTAATGAATAGAATAATAAAGTAATTTTTCCGAAACATGTTGGACTTCTGGAAATCTGGATTTTAAACAAGTGATCTTCATCACAAGCTCTATCAACGCTTCGTCGGTTCGTAGTTTAAATTTACAAATATATTCGCGTTTTAAACCGTTTGCTTTTTGAAAGGAATACCACTAGTGTAAACCACAGACAATGTTGCTCCAGCTTTTAAATAATCATGTAGTTTTAATTCTCGGACCGTCTTTGCTGCGTCTGAGTTTTCGTTACTAACATATCATACGAAGAAGGCAAGGAATCAAATTGCTTCACACTGTAAGCTATCCGTTTTGCATCATAAGGTGTTGTTAACTTAAATATGCCCATCTGAAAAGAAGTCTTTTATCGAGCACAATGTATTTATTATCATATATATTATTCGTAACTTTATATCACTTAAAGATTTACAAAAAAACTTTTAACCGTTTAAAACGCGGAATGTATTAGTTATCTTAAGCTTATCATGTATACGACCCACCGTTTCGGCTTTGCAGCAGCGGTTGTCAAAAATAGGGGCCCTAATGTCAAAATCAAAGTTTCATCGTAGTTAGAATAAAAATGTAGTTAACTAATATTAGTTATAAATATATATTTCGCGTTTTAAGACGTTATTTATTTGGAAATTGGATTTGATTTGTAAACAAAGTTATGCTTAATCTAAGAGCGAAACCATCCGTACAGCAGTTTTGACGTTGAGCGTTTACAGACAACGGAAAAGTTTTTATAAAAACTTTAATATTTTTTAATATTAAAGTTTTTAAATAGATATATAAATTTAAAATCTGTTTAGATTGAAAAACAATAGAAATGCTTATTCTAAGCTGTTTATATTTAAAAAAAAGTGTTACTTGAGCGGCTATTGGACCAATTTAAATTGGCATCAATGCGTAGAATCTCGTGATGATGGAACCCACCCGGTCTAAAATACAAGGAGTAAGTTTGAATTACTCACATGAATCAACGCTGCCTTGTATTTAGCTAAAGCCTGGACAGCTTTGTATCGCTTCGTTATGTCCAGCAGAACAAGAACGTGTGGTGGTAGATATTCTGGCTCCGGTGTAACGCACTCCGACACTATCTAGAAAACAAAAGTATTTATTAAACGACAACTCGGGCAAGACATGAACCAGCATCCATACAGTTCCGTGCTGTTGCTCTAACCACTTGAGCTACCGTGTCCTACATGTAATCGTCGAATTTTTTCAACTTTTTGATACGTGCACCTCTCATTAAGCATTTTAAGTTTCAATGTCGTATTCTTTGCAGCTTCAGAAAATCATTGAAGATGAAATTGCAAATTTTGACGTTTGAAAAATTTATAATTTTTACATGTATAAATTAAAAATCGATTGTAAATTTTTTAAAAAGACTCTGGTAGGACAAAAATATATTTTTCCAACGAAAATCTCAAAAAATACTTGACATAATCCACGGCAGATGGTGCCACTGTGATCTCCAACATTAACGATGAAAGAAATTTTAAAAAGTAAAGAAGAAAAGAGAAGGTGCCGTTATTTTCTAATTAACACAAACGTTTCGAAGTTGTTCTATGTCTTCTTTTTACTTCTTTTAACGAATTCATACCAGTCCAAAAATTCGAAGACAAAGGGTGAGTAGACAATATAAATTGTCACGTTGGTGTGCGATAGTTATTGAGCTATCGTATATCGTAAAAAGATTTTTTTTTATTTCACCACAAACAGTAGCATTTCACTTATAACAATAAAAAAATAAGGGTTGACTGGAACAGATCGCTCTCTAGCGATAAGGCCGCTCGTTGCTTTCCATAACTTGTTATAATAATTTATCTTTAAAGTTGTATTACTAAGAATTTAAAGACACATGTCAAATTCAAATTCTAAACTTTTTATTGCCATTCACACATGTGTTTTTAATAAAGAATTAAATAATAAATATCAACGTTGTTAATAAACTTATCACTTGTGTCGGCACTTCTAGACTTCAAACCGTACTAATATTTAATATTTTAAAGAACCTTTGGAAACAATACAGCTAAGCCATTGGCTTTGGCCACGTCGTTCGGAGGAGCATAGAAGCCAGGTATGAGTAGACCGGGGGGAGGAAAATACTCATTTTCATCCTCATCAGAACTGCTCGATTCTTCTTCTTCTGGTAGTTCCTAAGATATGGCTATATACAGTACTCAAAATATTAAAATGTTTACCTAATTAAAACGAATATTATAAACTAGCTATGCCCGCGACTTCACCTGCGTAGAATAATAATTTCGATGTTTTTGGAAACCTTCTTATCTATATTGATTGCAGATTCCAGTTTTATATTATTAGTACCCATAAATATTATAAATTGTGCTGTGCATATAGAAATAAAAAAGGCGATTTCGTTTTTTCATTAATACTTTAAAACAATAACTTTTAATTACCTCAGGCACAACGATGTCAACTTTTGCATCGTCTGGCTCGTGTTTTAACTTTTCCAGTGCTTCTAAATCCTGAAAAATTCCTTTACAATTACAATATTATGAAAATAAATGTATCAAAATATCACATCTTACATTTAATTAAACAGAAAGAATACATTATACATATCCTATTCTTTTGTCCCCAAAATTCCCAAATTTGTCTTTAGTTTTGAGGGTTTATTTTAGGAGGACAGCCTAACAGTAGATTCACTCAATGTAAAGTGAAGACCTCACATAACATATAAAGAAAATGCGCGGTCGACCTATTTTTGCCTTGTTTGTAAATTCCATATAATAACATAGTTTACTGACTCCAGCTTTCAACAGCTCAAGCTTCCTCTGCTCCTTTTGAAGTCTTCTAGCTTCTAAAGCATCTAAAATAGCTTGTCGCGCCAAGCGTTGCATTTCTGACAAGCGGCGCGCGCGCTTTTCAACAGCTTCTTCCTGTAAATATCTTTATTGTAGCCAAACTGAATTATATAATAAATTATATGTAATGAAAGCTGTTACCCACTACATTGGTTGCGTTTTGTCGCTGTTGCCAGTTAATTTTAAAACAGACATATACAGTCGCAGATATAGATAATTTAAAAAAGAATCATTATTTCATGTAAATGAATATTTTTCCCCATACATCTTTGTTTCTTCGCTCCTAATGACCGCAGCCTTTTATACCCCAAAGCCTTCCATAAAAAATGGTCCAACCCAACACAAAATAATTATTGAATTCGAACCGATTCGAAGTAGTTCAGCGATAACAATTTTTTCAGCATAATGATACCCTTTTCCTCTGTCTATCTTCTCTTCTTCTCTGCCATATCTCCGCTTTTGTAGGACTGTACGTCTTGTATCTGTCAAAAGCTGATCTCTGCGGCAATTGTTCGTTGACGGGTTTCGTGTCGTCCAGAGGTGTTACGTCTTCGTATAAAATCTTCCGTACAAGGTCTGGAATGGCCCGGAGACAGGTTTTACTTACAGGCATGTAAGGCAAAATCGATTTTAAATTTAAAAATCTTTAATTCTATTTCTTACAATATGTTAATAAAACTCATATTTGTGAGGTACCATGTTACCCTAACCGATTAACCTCCTCTCAAGGGACCGCCTTTGTAACTAAAGTTAAACGTGTTGATTATCATTACATGAAACGCAACAGAACTTAGGTTCGAATCCCGGGAAAACAATACATTGTTTCCGTGGGACTGGGCACAGAAGTATATATAAGTTCGGACATGGTCAATTGGTTGAGACAATAGAGGATGTGTAGGACATAGTAGAATTGGTTAGAGTAGCAGCACGGAACACATTAGATGCCGATTCAAGTCCTGTCCGTATCGTATTTTTAATAATCTAAAATCGATTTTTATTATATAAGTAATAATAATTGGTTTAAAGGAATGCTTGGCAGAGCAGTGGTCACAGGGGGAACTGCCCTAATAAACCGTTAGTGTTTTATGTGAATGTAAACTCGCGTAAATCACCTTTAGTTTATATAGTAACCAACCAACAAAATGCTTTTCTAAATCCAGGAGACGGAAACAAATGGCCAAAGCAGTTCCTGACGACAGCATATCCATAGCTGCCTCGTTCATCGAAGAGTCTCCCGCATACAGGATATCTTCCGCAGTTGCCCGGTCTAACTGTACTTCTTCGCGACCCACCATCACTATATCTATAATATAATACGAAAAACTATGAGACGTTAATATTGTAAATGTTAGATTGATCACATATTAGAGAGGGAAGGGTTTTTATTGGTTGGTGCCCTCCAAAAGTTCCAAAACTATGTCACTAAACTTCTTAGCATGCATGCATGGCATAACTGCTTTTTACTTTATATACTCTTTGTATGCATAAGGTTTGATATAGAATATAAAATGTTAAATACTGTCTATAGTTTACGCGAGTAGTACACATTTAAATAAAACACTTTAACGGTTTAAAACGCGATATATTAGTTAAACTTATTTGAAAATGATTTTTAACTTCGGCCCGACGTTTCGGATGCTTTGCAGCAGCCGTGGTCACGGGGAGACACGTGGTCTCCCCGTGACCACGGCTAACTAATATATCGCGTTTTAAACCGTTAAAGTGTTTTATTTAAATATATAAAATGTTGTTAAAGTTAACATTTTTTCTAAAACCGGTCGGAAATCGAAAATTCACAGATTGAAACCGAAGCTCGAATAAACTTCACGACTTTTCCATCTATGGGCGCTGGTTCGTTACCCGGACAAAATTTTGATATTCCCACCTCTCATTTAATATCCACTGGCAAAGTCAGTCACGTTTCAGAAAAATTATAAATTAATTAGACACGTGCTGGGATCGAACCCCGAGGTCCCAAAAAAAAGTAAAATATATTTAAATTAAATACTTTAACTGTATAAAACGGAATATATATGAGTTAAACTTATTTAAAAATTATTTTAACTACGGCCGTTTCGGATGATTTGCACAAATAAATGTATCTAATATATATCGCGTTTTAAACCGTTAAACTGTTTAATTGAAATGTGTACTACTAGCGTTTAAACTATAGACAGTTTCATATTACTGTTAAGGTCCCATCGCTCATATAGTTCAGGGTGTGCGTGCTTAGCATGAGGCCAGTACAGCACGAAGTTCAGGTGCTTGAGGTGGGGTATCATCAACTCAGCTCGATGCCGTTTGCGAGCTGCTTGCCGTGCTGTACGTCGTGATTCTAACAGCTTGGTCTCTTGCATTTTCTCAGTTGTATTCTTGTTTTGCCATTCCTTTACAATAGTAAAATTATTAATAGCGAATTATTAGAATACATCTTTGTAAACACTGTCTGTAGTTTACGCGAGTAATACACATTAAAACAAAACAGTTTAACGGTTTAGAACGCGATACATATTAGTTAAATTTATTTGAAAATTATTTTAAGTACGGCTCGATGAATGATTTAATCTTATAGTTTACAGGAGTTAAACATGACACTTAAAAAAGGCGACATAATCACGTAATTCCTCCCGTACTTACGTTTAAAAAAATCACTCGAACCAAATGGTCTTAGTCTAATTTAAAAAATCTGGTTTCAATCGGTTATAGTTGTTTTATTTTCAATTATTTCTTACAAGGTCCTCTGGCAACGGTTCACTTAATTCGTAGGTTAGTCGTTCGTAGCTTAAGCCCTTTTGGTATTGCTTGAACAAATCTATTTCGAGTTTCGCTACTGTTGCAAATTTTATATTGTCCACACCACGAAAGATCGTTGTCACTCTTTTATTCTGGATAAATAATTATATTTGAAGTAACGAAAAATTTTAAATAATAAATAGACCTTGGACGATGCTTACCAGTATAAATAAATAAACCGGTTGACTTTGATTTCTATACCTAGCTAAAGCCTCCACTTCATCTGCTAGAACCTAATATTAAATATTTTAAACATAAAGTTTTGAATCTTATAAATACATTTGAAATCTAAAACTGTACAAACTTTTTATCTCGGAGGGTATACAAATATTTACCTACCCTCAGTAAGATTATCTGTCCATCACTCCAATCAAGTTTTATTATTCGAAAGAGATGATCTAGTGCTGTACATGGTCCAGAAAAAGCACAGTATACTTCCACACCTAAAAAATATAAGTTATGTGACCACAGATTTTAATAAATAATGTTTAGCTATAAATCATCCTAGTCAATAGTTTAGTCAATGGATCGTTTACGAAATCTTTATCAAATTAGATTTCTCAATAAGGGATATTGAGAAAAAGGTACCTATTTTCTTTTGTCAAAAACCGCAAATGGCGTAGATTATAGAACATAGAGAACAATAATTGATCTTAAGAGCCACAGACCATAAAAACAAAACATATATAGAAATGTGTTCTTGAGCTGATTGATAAGAATTATGAAAAATATATATATATACTAAGAAAAATGTACATACATATAATCCTATCATAATTTTGATCAAGCAGATAGTCAAACTCTTTTTGGTTATTAATTTCCAGAAATAAATCAATTTGCTTCTTTTTCGCCATGATTATATCGGTATTATTAAAACAATCAAATTGGAAACAGTTAAAACCCCATACATTTCTATGTGGTCATGCATTTTATTTAAAAGCTATCTTACGTTTGTTTTTCGAATGAGCTCAACAATCCTTAACTTTTTCATGATATTGTTTCATCAGCTGTAAATTCAAGTGGTTAGGCATATTAATAAGAGATGACACTATTTAACAAGTTGGCACATTGTGATCTTTCAACGCCTTTATAGAGAAAATATAATCGGCATAAATATAGATCTAATTTTTTAATAAAAAAATATTTCAAATAGTTAATTTATTATTTAAATCTATAATTAAGAAATATAAAGTATTTATTTTTAAGAAGTAAAAAATTTAGCTCTGGCAATGTTAAAGAATTTTGTAGAAAATAACTGTCAATGTCAAACCGCCATGTTAAAATTTTTAGTGATTTGGAAATTATCGTTTGCGATGGAGTCATACTCTTTGTCTAAAAATACTGATAGTGTAGCTAACGTGAATTATTCAAAATTATGCCATTTTCCTATCGTTTCTCAATCCGCTCCTGTGCATTGCAGAAAACTAGTGTTCGTTTGACAAAATTCGCCTGAGAATTGTTGTCGTTCGTGAATCTTGCCGACTCGGGAGACATCTTGTGATTGCATTGGCGCAAGTAGCCTGTTTGATATTGTCGTTCACCCGAAAAGCATAGCATTTTTAACGGTGCTCAAAAAAGTCCTCAATCATGGACGTTTCGTGGGGTGTGTTTAATGGATACATTGAATATTAAATATAGGTTTACAAGTGCTACAGTGAAGTGAATGTATTTTTTCAGACGCAGATAATTTCGAGCCCAAACTACCGACCACGTTGGCCGCCTCCAAATGGGAAGGCGAGGACGAAGATGATAACGTCAAGGTATTACGAACGGCTGCCAAAAAACTTTGTCAATTAACTGTTTTGTGTTCCGCAACTATTTATTAGGTCGAACTGCCAACTTTCGTTCATAACCTCAATCGATCTGTGTTGACGTCACCTTGTTTCGCAGGAGAGTTGGGAAGATGAGGAAGAAGAGAAGAAAGATGAGGAGAAAAAGGAAGTAGCACCTCCTCCCACTAAGCCCAAGAAGAAGATTCAAGATAAAATAGCAGAGAAGGAGGTATGTAGAATGTATGACCTTTACTTGTCAACCTGATAACACTGACATGGCTTTTAAAATTTAAAGAATTATGTCTTTTATTGTCTGTTAACATAATGTTGGCCTTGACTAGGCTATTTCTTGTTCACAAACTGGTCTACCTTGTTTCATTAGAACATTTTAATTTAACGTTTTCACAATATTCTATATAGGTATTTTATCTTTTTTTAATCCTATTACTATAATTACCAATGTTTAATAACAATCTCTTATTATTCTAGTAACTAATTAAACAAATAATTACTTCACAATTTGTGAATAGCTATTAAGTAATATTTGATAGTAGGATTAAGAAATGTTCTACTGACATATGGTTATAATTTATCTGTTGTTGCTACCCAAGTACATAATGCATATTACCCAACACAGTAAACTTAAATTGGTGGCAAATAATGGCATTAAAAATGTTCACTAGAGGTTTCAGTTTATTGATAAGTCTGTATCCAACTTCTGCCATTGAGTCCATCAGTGAGTCAAGATGCTAGAGTGAAAGCAATATTTCAACAGTCATAATTGAGATTCTTATCTTATTTCTTGGATAAAGTACAGTGGCAATAAACTCGCTGTTACTCTTATTATCACCAAGTTTCATTTTACATTCTTGATTTACTTTTAGTGCACTACATATTTTTCCTTGTAAGAGAGGGTTCCTTCACACCCCAAGCATTTTTATCATGTAAATATTGATTATCGTGATAATAACCCTTTTCAGCAGTAAGCAGTTTTTGTTTTACATATGATTTAAACTTATTTATTGAGAGTGCTTGCACTTTGCTGGGATTTTTATTAGAGCTTCTCTATATATTGATATACTTAGTTAAATCTTGGTTATAATTATTTACTTATTGCTTTCATTAAATAGTTGGTATAGGAATATGACAAGCCTTTACAAAAAAGCAATTCTGTTAATGCTATGTGAATTTTAGGTATGAAGTTTGCTGAAAATAAAATGATGACACTGAAATTCATTGATGTTAGTTTGTTGTTAGTTGGCTAATCAAATTTATTTATTATTTGTAAAATAATTACAGTAATTTACGCACTACACGGTCATTAGTCTATATTATTAGTGTATGTCTATTATTTATGTAAATGACAACCTGTATTTATAGCGCTTGGAGCGCGAGAAAGCCGAGCGGCTGGCCGCTGAAAAGGAAGAAGAACTCACTCCAGAGCAGAAACTTGCTGAGAAGCTTCGCCGCCAGAAACTCCAAGAGGAGTCAGACCTTCGACTCGCCATGGAGACTTTTGGTATAGCTTTATGTCTATAGTTATATTACATTGTGTCTAAAAATTTAGAAAATGAAATTTTGTTTAAACAAAAATGACTTGATCTGATGATTCATTACTAAAACATATCCCTAATGCACTGCAGGTGTGTCAGAGACAGGCGGCGGCAAGCTAGACAGTTTCCACCCTACAAATAAAGAAGAATTTGCAGAGTTTGCAGATCTTCTGTGCAAGAAGATAAACTACTATAAATCCAAGGATGAATTTCCAGCGTTTGTCGACGAACTTGTTAAAAATATTGTCGTGAATAGTAAGTTATTTGGGATGAGTAACTACTGCCAAACGGTATTACTTATCACCTCCGAATCTTGGGAAATGCGTTAAAAGGTCAATAAAGTATGTAGGCTGATTACTAGGACTTTAATTGGTTTCTCTTCAAGAAATTTTTAATTTTAATTACCTCTAGTTGCATTAATATTTACATGTTATTCTACAGCCAACTTCAAATAGTCCTTGTAGCATAATTTTCTTATAAAAAATTTATTGCTGTTAATTATTTAAGTTTCTTTTAAAAATTTAATTACTTTTAATTATTTATTGCCATGGATATCCATGGCAAAGCAATTTCTTCATTTAGTCTTACTACTTACTACTTTTGATTGTTATTCTACACAAAAATTTTTGTATCTTAATTCATTTATTTTGCTTACAGTGCCCTCTGTGGAAATAAAAAGGATAAAGTTGACAGTAGACAATCTGTACATTGAAAAACAAAAGGCAGAGAAGAATGAAAAGTCTAAGAAACCAAATAAAGGCAAAGGCAAGGCGAAATTAAAAGTTGAAGGTGACAATGTGAGTGGGATAAATTGATTTATTTATTTGAATTGTATTCACTAGAACTACTAAGAATGACTCTGGTATATATCTCTCCTTAATGGGTTCATATGATAAAGTGACTAAGCATGAGATCAATATTGTATCACTCTTTTTATATTATCAATGGTCAGGGAATATGAATTGATGGTATCGAGGGACTTCAAAAAGTGTATCTCTTCCATCCCCATCCCTCTTCTAATTCTTAAAGAAACATATCTAGTAATTATTATATATATGTATACCCTTAAAAGAGAATAAAAACTTACCTTTTTACAGTATAGTATATTAATTTAACCTTATTTAGGACTTAAATTACATTCCTATAGTCTTGTAGAGTTTTTTTTTTTTCCTATGTCAAAAATTTACTAAGGGCTGGGAATAATTAAAATATTAAAATCCAAAAAAATCGAGACCTGAAAATATTATTTGTGAAATGTATAGGATTTCAAAGGGGAATCACTCTCCTTATTTCCACCATAAATATTGAACATGTAAATAGAATTGAAATCTATGTTTACAGGCCCACCTTAACCAATACGACGCGTATGGCAACTTCGATGACGATTTCGACGACTTCATGTGATCAAGCGATAGAAATTGTACCTGCTCTCTGAACATGATTAACGAAAAACAAAGTTAATCTCAGTAAATATCCTAGAATCACTAGAGGCGGTCACTCCCATTGAATGAGCGAAAGGGACAGCGCTATTCCAACTTACAAGTGTCTAACTCTAGCTGTCTCCCTCACTCTTAATAGTTTCTATAATGCTATCTCGTCTATACGTACGTGTGTTTAATTGTCAAAAGTATGACAGACAATTCTGTAGTAGAATGTCATTGGCTTTGACATATTATAAAATGTTTCGTTTCAATGCTTGAAGAGCAGGTACACAAAATAGTTGTTGAATTTTAATTCCTTCACAGTTTCCAGCAAAAGCTAGTTGTTTAATGTAAAAGTGGCTCTAAATAGGTATTTATTCTATTGTATAACAGAAGAGGAATTAAATTTCGATGTTCTAAGGATGGCAACACATAATAACCTATACTTATTATTTTGTAATATACTCTGTCGTGTCTAATGGTTGCGGTCCGATGTTATGTTATATAGATAATAAATTTTTTATTGTGATTATTTGTGTTTTATTTTAATAATCTTAAAGTAATAAATAAATTAAATGTTACGTTCGACAATTACATCAAGGTTCTAAAATCTGGATAATTAATGGGTGGTAATAATATCGAGAATTCCGTCCGTGTCACGATCCACCGTCCAAAAATGTAAAAGCCGCGTATAGATAAAAACGTATAGTCGCGTTTCGGTTTCAGGTTGTATTTTTTCGAAGATCCAAAGCCAAAATTGGTGCAGCAAATTTATTTTTCTTAAAAAGCAACTTATTTTCTGTAAAAATATTACAGTTCAGCTTTAACTCATATAAAATATTATGTGTATGTTTGCGTAATTAACATACAAAAATTTTTTACGTTAGGAAACGATTAGCAATCAAAACTAGGTCGATCTCTATCAAAACTTATCCCCAGACAGTGGTAGGCTCGAGCTTTATATATATTTTAAACTTATGCCTTGTAAATTAAACTATGAGCTACCGTGAACTTATTGATATGCTATTTCTATTTTAAGCGTACGTCTACAAAAATTAATGTTGCACTTTAAAAGTGTCCCGAATCTATTTTACGGTAGTGCATTTATATATTCTATCAAATTTAACATTCTCAATACTTTTTAAGAAAGCCATTAATACATATATTACCCGATTTAAACCGTTAATTGTGCGTCAACTACACACAATACTTGAAATATTTCATGTCATTTGACAGTGTTCAACTCCATTTCAAGTCACTAGCGGTTAGTACGGCTGGTCGAAATTCTCAAACAAGTTTTAAAAGATTTTCGTCGGCTTTCGTCTCTAGTTATTCTATTATAACTTTCGACGTAGGTTTGTGTAAATTCTACTTTAAATTGCCCCCCTGGCCTTCAACATATACCCACAAAACCACAAATGAGTTATTCAGTATTGAAGTTGCCTAAAATATAATATTTCGACATTCTTGCATTATAATGATAGTAGTCATTGGACCCACGCACTTTGTGGTTATACGTGCTTGGCAGAATCATGTGAATTGCTCTAAGACTGTTTTTTGTAATGCATGGTGACGCCATAATAAAATTAGACCCCGCCTACGTCTATTGAGATATCCCAAGGATGTTTTAAAAACACTGTAAAGTTTTGGAGTATGAACTAAAGTCTAAAACAAATGAACAACGACTAAATGTTATCTAAAAGACTTAATATTATTAGGGTTTAAATATTAAATCACTAGATGTTACTCGCGACGTCGTCCGCGTCACCTAGTTCTTGTGAATTTATTTTATTATTTGACTAATACTGTCGCGGACGTTTTTGTTAATAATTTAAAGAGCAATCATACATATTTTTTTGGTTTCTCGAACCGTTTTCGCAGGCACGTAGCAGAAGCCCTCAAAGGTGAATGTTGTCTCCGTTTTTTTACACATTTACGTCTGCTACTTCGCTCCTGTTGGAAGCGTAGTATATAGAAGTCTTCCTTAGCTTTTCGTTAAAAGGTCCAATTATCACAAAAAAGTTCAAATCAAACCAGTAGTTCCTGAGATTAGCGCGTTCATACAAACAAGCAATACAAATTCTTCTTATTTATATTATACTAATATTATAATATAAGTATGTAAATTAAAAAATTTTTTTAAATCAAGAGAATTTACGATACGAGCGGGACTTGAATCGGCATCAACAGCGTTCCAATACAACTATCTAACCAATTAAACTGATTTAAAAAAGAATTAACCTATATAATGTCAACATATGCATGCGACTTTAATATTCTGATTTATTCATGCATCTTTGAATATATAAATTGATTTATTAATTTATGTTCCTGTAATTAATCGAACGATGTCGAAAGCTGTCTATGGCAAACGAACTGCTGTTTTTTAAAAAAAGTTCTACAATTTTAATTGGGACGTCTCTCGTACTCTTAAGGAAGTTATTAAAAGCGATAATAACATAATGATGCGGCCGATTGTTACGTGATCGTGTCGAAACGATTGTCATTGTTACACTTCCGACGGTATTCTCTAATTGTTTTGCGTACGTAACACTACTTAGTGATTATTGTCTCAAGTGTGTGACAGCCCTATTCCGGGGTATGGGGTATCGAACACGTTTAGTTTACTAATGACGTCGATTTCTTAGTTTTTATATGAATTAAGAATCCTCTTCCGAGGATAAACTGGCTCGTTGGAGTAATCAATGTATGAATACGCGACGTTGGTTTGATCCATCTGGGTCCAACATTTTTAAAAACAATTTATAATGTTTTTAAAAATGTTGGACCTCGTCTGGAAGGCTGAATATCAATGGGTGGAAGTAATGAAGCCCAGCTTATGAACCACCGTCCAAAAATAAAAAAGCCGCCAAGTTTAATCGAGTTACGGTTTCAGTCTTTCCGAATATCCAAAGCCATAATAGGTCGACAGTGCATCGCGTTTAGATTTTATATGGCTGAGGGTATACGCTAGTCTGTCCTTTACTGTTATTAGAAAAGTCCTTTTTGCAATAGTAGCGTAGCCCCTTCAGTGTCGCGTTAACTGATTTTTTACAGGAAGTTACTTGTGTGCCTTTCCCTAGCAAAAACAATGATAGTGTCCGTTTAGTGAGTCCGTTAAATATCACTGATATCTAAATGGAAGGCTATTTTGATAGAATGAACTAAACAACCAAGCTTTGAATATGGCAGTAAACGAATAATTCTACATTGCATTTTCACATAATACTTTTGTAGAACAAATAGTCTCTAACATTACAAGTAATGTAGCAAGCGACTAATAGTATTACACTACATTTCGTAAACAAATAGTCGTAAAAACGATATGCAATGGCTTTTTTCGTTTCGTTATAGATCAAAGACAATAGCGTTACAGCACATTCGGACCGACATGATGGATGTTTTAAGGTTGTGCGTTTCCATTGTCAACTTTATTATAATATATTTTTTATTAATTACTAAACACAGCATTCAGCTCTTACAATATAAATGTAGCCACCACGTGTTGATTCTGTGCTCTGCCCGTCGGAAAATATTTATTTTTAGTTTCTTGACAGTTCTTCTCGTTTGTTCTACGCCTTTGATTTGAGAGGTAGTAAATGTAAATTTAGAGTATTTAGTTTTTAGCTTGTGTGACGCTATTATTGTACCTATTTACCCACGCGAAAGAATGATTGCGTTATTCAACATAAACAGCTTATAAGCAGGTAAGTAAGCTGTCTATGACTAATATGTAGAAATTATTTAGTTTTTTATTCAATTTCAAGAACTTTTTGGCACATTTTATATTATATAAGCTAAAGTAAATATCACACGCCATTATTCTGGATATAACATCTAATTTATGTGTATGCCAACATATTTCTATATTTGTATCATTTAAATAAAAAAAATTAACGGTTTAAAACGCGAAATATATTAGTTAGACTTATTTGAAAATTATTTTCACTACGGCCCGATGCGACGTTTGCTAATATTACTTGTGACAGTGGAAACACACAAACATTATTTATTATTTATTTATTTATTTATTTATTTTACACTTTGATACACCAAACTGAACATACAGATACTATGCAATTTATAACTATAGAGTGTACCGGGCGGCCTTATCGCTATAAGCGATCTCTTCCAGGCAACCCGAGTAGAAAGAAACTTAACGATTAATTAAAAACTATACAGTATGCAAGAAGTGCGAAACTTACTAATTACTTAAACTAAACAAAATAAACTTAAATTAAATTAAAAATAATAAAAACCCAGCAAAATAACTATAAAAAAAAAAAAAAATAGAAAAAGGAAAGTGAAATTTATTAACATGATAAGGACAGTAGATGTTTATATAAAAGACTTTTGAAGGAAAACAAGGAAGGAGCTAATCGGACGGAGTCAGGTAGAGAGTTCCAAAGTTTTGCAGCAGAGATGGAAAAAAAGGGACAAGCAAAGTTCGGGGAGGGACGGGGAATTTTTAGTAAAAACCCCTCGGCCCCCCCCCCGCCCAAGGGGGGGGGGCCCAAAAAAAAAAAAAAAAGTGGGGGGGGGTGGGGGGGCCGGGGAAAAAAAAAAAAAAAAAAAAAAGAGGGGGGGGAGAGGGGACCCCCCCAAACGGGGGGGGAAAAAAAAAAAAAACCCGACAGGGGAGGGAAAATATGATCATATATACGAAGGCCTAAAATAAATACCGGACGCAATTATTCTGTAAACGTTCTGTGTAGTGTCAACATATTTCTATATTCATGTCCGAGGCGCAAGAGTCAGCGTAGTCTAGAAAAGGAAGGAGAAGAGATTGGGCGAGTACAGATTTGTGAAATAAGACAATTTAACCGGTTTAAAACGCAAGAAATTGCATACAATTTGCGACCGACCTCCTTTACATGACAATCCCAAGATTGCGTTTGGTCTTTAAAGACCCCCGGGGGGTTTTGGGGGTTTTCCCCCCCCCGGGGACGCCCCCCTTGGTTTTTGGGGGGGGGGGGGGTCGTG